CAACGGCTTTAAATTTCACACTAAAAGCCGCAGTTCTTCTAGGGCATCTAACAACACTGGTGTATGCATAAAAGGAACTAACTATAGTGCAGATGATAGTGACTACTATGGTGTGCTAACTGATATCCTTGAATTGGAGTACAAGGGTAGTGAATATATAAAGAGAACTGTTTATTCAAGTGCGAGTGGTTGATCCCACACCAAAGGCAGGAATGAAGATTTACCCACAATATAAACTTGTGGATATCAACCATGAAAAGAAATTAAAGAAGTATGAACCATTTGTTTTGGCAATGCAAGCGGCTCAAGTGTATTATACAGCTTATCCTAGCTTACGACGTGATAAGAGTGACTGGTGGGCTGTGTGCAAAGTAAAAGCACAGGGTATTGTGGACATGCCTCCATCATCTTCACAGTCAACTCCGACAGATGGTGTTGAGCCATTCCAATCCGAAGAAGATGGTTTAACATTTGGTGTGGTACCTGACAATGAAATTGTTCTCCTGAATGATCCAAATGGTGAATTCATACACATAAGAGACGAGGATGATGATTTAGATGATAAGGTAGAACTTCATGTTGAATTTGGATCGGATGAAGATGAGGATGAGGATAATGAGGATGAAGCGCCATATGATGAAAATGACAGTGAATAGAGTCAAAGTGCTTCAATCTCTTCAACTATAGAGTCTGAATGAATGAAACATAGTATATAATTTATTTTTTTTACCATTTGATTTTACTTTTCTGAGAAAAAAGTTCTTGGATTTTAGATTTTATGGTTTCTTGTTTTTTTTAAAACTTAAGTATTTGTATTTAATAGCTCTTTCGCTTGCTTGTTTGACCGGTTACCATCAATCTCATTTTGTGAGGAGTAGTAGTTGTATTTTGCAAATGCGGTAAGAAATACTTATAAAGTTGTTTGTCTTTTTAATCTGCCATGTCTAGATTAATACTTGTATGCCTTAATTTTTCCAGAGCACTCTGTTCTTGGAGTAATATATCAACTAATTGCTCTTGGAATAATATATCAGTTAACTACTTAATACTGTATCCAATTAGATTTGATCATAATTCGTTAATTATGTATTTGTTCATCTACATATGACTTTAGAATTGCAGATATGGCACCTAGGGGAGGTGGAGCACGTAGATATGCTGAAAACAGGAATGCAAACACACTGAGATCTCCTGAGATGTTGAGTCCCACATCTAATCAGTCCCCGTTATCACCTGAACCTCCAGTTATAGAAACACCACATTCGGATGCAGCTATAAACAGATCCTTACCATCTTCATCTTCTGATCTTGGTACACCTGGAGATGAAATCCAAACAACAAGTTCGTCAAACACAGTTGGTGGTAACCGTATCCCAATTACAATCGTCCTTGGAGGGTAAGAGTACAAGTGTCATCTATTTATATTTATTTATTTATTTTTGTTTTGTGCTTATCCGTGATGACCCAAAGGGTCATCACCCGTTTTCCCGTTCATTCCGTGCTTCCGAGGCCTTGAAAACCTTATTTTTACTTGCCTCAATTTGTGTGCGCAGTCCGGGCGCGTAGCCGGAAAGCTTAAATATGAATTCTGTGTAAAAATTTATGAATGTTGATATTAATATGATTAAAGTTGACTTTGGTCAACATTTGAGTAAACAGACCCGGACTTGTGATTTGACGGTCCCAGAGGGTCCGTAGGAAAATATGGGACTCGGGCATATGCCCGGAGTCGAATTCCGAGGTCTAGAGCCCGAGAAATGAATTTTTCTGTGAAATTGTTTTTCTGAAATTATGAAGGAAATTGGAAATGAAAATTGATTAAAAGACTGTGGTATCGGGCTCGTATTTTGGTTCCGACGCCTGGTATAAGCCTTATATATGGTTTAAGCGCTTTCTGTAAAATTTGGTTGAAAACGGACGTCGTTTGACGTGTTTCAGACTCGAAATGGGAATTTGATGCTTTATGAATATTTCAAAGAAAAACATGAGTTTTGAGGCTTGATTCGATGTATATGATGTTATTTTGGCGATTTGATCGCACGGATAAGTCCGTAGGATGTTTTGAGGTTGTTTGCATAATTGGTTTGGAGCCCCGAGGGCTCGGGTGAGTTTTGGATAGATGTCGAGTTGCATTTTGAACCTTTGAAAATCTGGTATCTTTCAGTTCTGCAGGCTTCGCATTTGCAAAGCCAGCATTCGCAAATGCGAACTCGCAATTGCGAGCTTCTCATCGCAAATGCGATCTTCCACTTGGGGCAGCAATCTTCGCAAATGCGAAGAAACTCATCGCAAATGCGATGCCTGCCTATGAGCCCAGTCTTCGCAAATGCGAACAATTGTCCGCAAATGCGATATTGGGCCTTCGCAAATGCGACGTAGTTTTCGTAAATGCGAACTTCCCAGCATTCTTTAGAGTTCGCAAATGCGAACAAAAATCTCGCAATTCCCAGACATGCTGGGTTCGCAATTGCGAACCCATGTTCGCTTTTCCCACATCTGAGGCCTGCATTTTTCATACTTAGACGAATTTTCAACCCATTTCTTCATCCTTTCAAACTCAAAAACTCCATAGGCGATTTTCCAAGAAACTTATCTTCTCCAAATCATTTGTAAGTCAATTTTACTTAACTTCTTCAATCTTTAACATCATTAAACATGTTTTCATCTTAAAATCAAGAATTTTCATGGATGAAAATGGGGATTTTGGGTAGAACTTAGGTTTTCTTAAAATTGGGGATTTGGACCTCAATTTGAGGTCCGATTCAAAACTAATCATAGATATGAACTCGTGGGGGAATGGGTAACCGGGTTTTGGTTCGAACCTCGGGTTTTGACCACGTGGGCCCGGGGGCGTTTTGGGAATTTTTGAGTAAAACTTTGGGAAATTCATTTTCATGCATTCAAATTGATTCGATTAGCATTTGTTGATACATTCAAGTAATTTGTGACTAGATTCGAGCGGTTTGGTGGTGAATTCGAAGGGTAAAGCTATACTAGAGGCTTGAGTTGAGTTTGGAGCATTTGAGGTAAGTGTTTGGTCTAACCTTAGCTTGAGGGAATAGGAGTTGAGTCTTATTTGCTACTTGCTAATTGTCGAGTACGATGTATAGGCATGGTGACGAGTATCTATACATTGGTGTCTAGCATGACCGTGAGTCCTATATTGTGATTTTCATGACTTCGTTATATTATTCATGCCTTGGCGAGTATTTCTATTTGTTGTGCAAAGTTGTGGAAGGAATCGTGGCTTATGAATATTGAGGAGCGTTGGCTCCAGTCGTAGAACGAATTGCGAAAGTATAAGTGATAATTGAACCTCTAGAGCATTGGCTCGAGTTGTGAAGAGAATTGTGAAGTAAAAGTGAGAAAGAGAAGAGATCATCATGTTGCCCCCCCCCTTGGGCGGGCTATTGTTGAGTTTGT